ATACGGGTTGGCAGATACACTTCGAGATCATAGATTGTTACAAGCGGGTTGCCCCAAGGCTCCCTTCTTGGGTACCTTCTTTTCCTTCTTTCCTTCAACAATCTCACGCTAAAATTGCACAACCCCTGCTTCATTTTTGCAGACGATGTGAAGATAGCGGGTGAAAACTGAAACCAAGACCTAGATGCAGTTCGCAGCTGGTCGTCTCGATGGGATTTACCCCTGAAACTTGCCAAGTATCAGCTACTGACGAACAACGTAGACTCAACCGGGGACGCAGCGCTACGTGGCACGACGGAGGTCAAGGACCTAGGAATAATTGTCACAAAGGGCTTCCGGCCTACAAGACCATGTCAGGTGGCTGCAAATAAAGCAAGAGGAGTACTCTCCAGGCTGCGGACCACAGTTACATGCAGAAAACCAGATGTGTTCGTTCCGCTGTATAAGGCAATGGTGCGTCCACTGCTGGGATACTGCGTGCAAGCTTGAACCCCATGCTATCGCAAAGATATGGAGTGTCTAGAGAGGGTACAACGACTGGCAACCAGAATGGTCACTGGACAGATAGGAAAGAGCTACTCGCAGAGTCTGAAGAACCTGAATTTTTTCACTTTGTCACGCCGAAGAACCAGGGGCGACTTGATAGACGCCTTCAAGATAGCTGAGGGGTTGTCGGGCATATAACTAAGCAGCCTCTTCGTTTCTGCACTGCGGCACTAGAGGTCATAGCCCTAAGCTGCAAAGGGAGCACTCCAGGCTGGATTTGAGGGCCCGGTTGTTTACAAACTGGGTGGTGCCTCTGTGAGATAGATTACCGGAGAATGTTATATGCTGCTCAACAGTTGTGGCCTTCAAAAAGGCCTTGGATCTGTGCTGGGAAGTGTGACGTCAGGCACGTTGAGAACGTTGCCGCCATTTTGGATTGAGTGTGAGCCGTGTGCATGTCTCACTGGACCTTTTGGTTCATGAATGTTTTGTATTTTCCCTGTTTTGCAAGTTGTTTGGAAATCCCCCTTCCACGGGGAAACTAGTCCGAATTGTCTCCTACCCATGCATTGAGAGCGTCTGTACTGGGTCGCATTTACCACACCCCAAACAGGGTTTCGTTAGTGGCATTCTGACAGCGCTATTAGCACCAGGAACTCGGATCGTGTTACCTGAGATCAACCTTCTGTCGCGTATTACGAATTGGTGGCATTTGTGAGCTAAGTCCTCCACGTTACAACTGAAGTGGCCCTGAAGAGAGCCTTGGTTTTGCTCTCAGTGGATCTCCCGTGGAAGACGCCTAGTGTGTCGTCTCGGTGTTATTCTCCGTCCAAATGGCTCGTACAAAGAAACCGGCCCGCAAATCCACAGAAGGCAAGGCTTCGCGCAGACAGCTGGCCACTAAGGCAGCTGGAAAAAGCGCCCCCGCCACTGGTGGTGTGAAAAAACCGCATTGCTACAGGCCCGGGATTGTCGCGCATCGTGAAATCCGTCGCTAGCAGAAAAGCACGTAATTGTTGATTCGCAAACTGCCTTTCCAACATCTCGTCCGTGAGATCGTTCAGGACTTCATTACTGATCTGCGCTTCTATGGCTCAGCCGTGTCCGCTCTTCAAGAAACCAAAGAGGCTTATCTGGTTGGCCTGCTCGAAGATACCAACCTTTGCGCAATCCACGCCAGGCGCGTTACCATCATGCCTAAGGACATGGGTGCTGATGTTCGTCAGAACCTGGCACTAATGTTTGCCCACGTTCGTTTTGAATATCCGTCCCAAAGGGAAACAGAACCAAAAATTAGGTTTGTGGAAAACGATATATTCTGAATCCTCTGAAAGGTTGGAAGCAGGTTTGGCTACCTCTAGGCTGTTATTTAAGCAACGGCAGCGGAAACCTGAAAGTAGATCTGATCAATGCAACGAAAGCGTGCGATACAGAGCTCACCGTGGAGAATTGTGTCGGTGCACGCTTTTCGAGTTCAAAAGAACGATAATAGTTGAAGCAAAACTTAATCCTGGAATTGTCCAATTTGGTATATCCAATAAAAAAACTTTCCCGGGAGGATAGCTATCGACAACTAATGGCGATAAATACTAAGTCTCGACGGTACACTTCATTGTGTCCGGTGGAGAAGGGTTCTTAAGTAAGAAGGAAAATCAATACCGGTAGTTTTATCTACCTGATTGAGAGGCTAAATAGCTACTTGATATCTGAACCTTGATGGTTCTGATAAATATGCTACGGTTGTGTAACCATGCCTTGATATTCCTCAATCATGCATGGCGGGTTGGAAGTTGAACCCGTCCTGTTGCTAATCACCGGTGTAGAGTAAAAGGGCTTCTTGTACGGGATTTGATGATCACGACCAGCTTGAATGGATCTATCAGGGAACTTGGAGAACAACAAATGACAAGAAAAGAACTGCCGTTGCGAAACTGTCGGTTGAATAATCGCTACATGAGCCTTCCCCTAAAAGGTTGGTGATGAGCAAACTAGGACCAGACAGTCGAGGCACCGACTTCTGGAGACATCGCCTTGTAGTCGTGTCTGTAGGTAAACCACAAACGAAACGTTATAATTATGACCACAAGGGTCTCTGCTTTTCGCCGCACGTTGGTTTAGAGTGAAACTACCCGTTGATTACCTAATGATGTTAAGGGGGTGCATCCCCCATAGGTATGTTGAACAGTTTTGTCCTGTTTATGGTGCATGAGGAGGCTAATGCGTGTATGCATGACTAGATGAAAGGTGAACGGGAGTTGCATTCGCCGAGTGTCGCCAGTTCGTGTTTAACGACAACAAGTAAAGATGGAATGTATTACGCGTACGAATGTATGTAGCTGTGAATGTTGTGTCCACGTGCAGCAGAGGGAAGGGGTTTGATCTCGAGTCAGTTTCTTAGGGTGGAAAGATTCCACGATGTCGCAATAACAGAGTTCCGCACGGGTGGACGACAACTCTGAGATGAGGAGCAACTTCAACCTCGCCCTGAGCCATCTAGACCATTGGTTTTAATAAAAAGTAAGCCCTGTAGAATGCAAAGGTGCAAGATGTACAGAACGGCAGAAGATTGCAATCGCAGATACGAATAAAAAGTATATTGCAATCCTTTTGCTGTTCATGACGCAAATGAAAACGTTCCTCAGTTCTACAGTGTAAGCAGAACAAAAGATACTGAATACGGTACCAGTAAAGCACAACAAATGAACCAATAAACAAGTACGCCTTTGACAGGCCAATGAAACGTTTTTTGTTTTGCTTTTGCATATATAAAAAGGTATATACTTAAACAATATACTAACACGCTTTTTGTTTATTTTTGTAAAAAAATGCGTTAGTAATAAAAAAATCCCTTAATAAGAGTTGGAGTACGGACCGAACGTCCGATACGAGTGGTTCTGGGGTTTGAACCAGCTAAAGCAGAACGCAGTGGAGGCGTTCCTGAAGTGGAGGGTAATGTGATCGGGGTGGGAGGAATAGTCGAACCCGGTGTGGTCGACAATGGGATGGGGGCTATCGGTATGGTGGTGTCCGTGGCCCTGGTTTGGGAAGGGATTGTCCTGAAGGATGTTGCGTCTATGTAAGCTGGCTTTGTACGGTCAATGGCGATAGCATTGCGGTTACCGTTCCTATTGATGACTGTTTTTCACTGCGCCAAAGTACGCGATAAGGGCCATTAAATGGAGCCTGTAGGAGTCTACCTACTGCGTCGTAACGGACCCAAACGTGTGTGCACGTCTTCAAGTCTGGATGTATGAAGACTGATTTTTGCTGTGGTCGCGTGACGGCTGGGGTTAACTCATGCGTGTGATGAGTAAGCCGTTGGACGTAATCCGGCGATGCTCGCAGTGAAGTTTGGTGTGGGGAAATATACTCTCTTGGAAGATGGAGTGTAGTTCCATATACTTGTTTGGCTGGCTTGCACTTCAGGTCGTCTTTGATGGCATTTCTTATGCCAAGTAGGACGAATGGGAGTGCCTCCGTCCATGAAATGACGGAATGTGCACTGAGTGTAGCTTTAGACTGTCGATGGAAGCGCTCGGCAAGGACGTTGGCAGCCGGGTGTTATGCTGTGGTACGTATACGTTGACATCCTAACATGGCCGTTAGCGAGTTAAATAATGCGGACTCCAATTGAGGGCCGCGATCTGTAGTCTGTAGTAGTAGGGCACCCGAAATTCGCTACCCAACGCTCCATGAAAGCCTTAGTTACGGTCTCAGTCGAGACGTCGGCAATCGGAACTGCTTCTGTCCAACGCGTGAAACGATCTATGCAGGTAAAAAGGTAGATAAAACCCTGCGTTGGGGGTAACGGTCCCACTATATCCAAGTGTGTGACCGAACCTAGCATTGGGAGTGCCAAATGTACCAAGACGGCTACTAGTGTGTCTGGTCACCTTAGATACCTGGCACGCCAAACAGCAATGTGTTCAACTACGCTCATATTTGTGAATGGATTGCCAAACGGAACGTTGGTTGACTAGTGCCGAACTGGCTTGAATACCTGGATGAGAGAGGTTATGCAGTGTATGGAAAACTGCTCTGCGCATATGTACGGGTACCCAAGGACGAGATGGGGTGCGTGAAACGGCATACCAGATCGGGCCCTCGGAAGTGTTTAGTGGCAAACGCTGAAGATTTAAAGAGGGCTGCAATGCGTTTTGCNAGTCCGGGTCGGAATCTTGCAATTGTGTCATATAAGCCAAATTGGTCACGTTATCAGAAACTACCGCTATGCGCGAGATGGCATCGGCAACGACATTGTCCATACCTGCAACGTGTCGAATGTCATTAGTGAACTGCGACACGTAGTCAAAGTGACGTATCTCCCGAGGAGAGTATCTGTCACTAGAAGACTTCAGAGCGTATGTAAGCGGCATATGGTTAATGAAGATGATGAAATCACGACCTTCCAGTGAATGACAAAAACGACGAACAGCCAGGTATGCTGTGAATAGTACCCAACCAAAAGTGCTGTACCAAGTGGCTGCGTCATAGATGGAGGAAAATCGCGAATCGCCGCGATTTTGTCCTCGACCGGACGGAACCCTTGAAGATCAATATGGTGACCTAGAAAAACTAAGGATTCTCGACCTAATTTGCACTTAGCGGCATTAACGGTAATACGATGTTGTTGCATACGTCGACAAAGTGTGCGTAAGTGCACTTCGTGTTCAGCGGCGTCCTGACTTCCGACAAGTATGTCGTCTAAATACGGAAAAACGAAATATAATCCGCGAAGGACCTCGGCGATGAAACGTTGAAATGGAGTGATGGCAGCGGTCTTGGGAACATCCGCCGGGTCGACAGGTATTTGGTTATAAGCCCTAACCAAATCAATGTTACTAAAGATTGATTTACCCTTAAGGCTAGCTGTTAAATCGTGGAGGTGTGGGATCGGATGGCGATCCGGGATGGTGGAACTATTGAGTCCACGATAATTCCCGCATGGGCGCCATTCCCCAACAGCCTTCTTGGGCACCATATGGAGTAGCGAGGCCCACTGACTTTGCGATGGGAGTATTATACCGGCCTTCAACATTACGTCGAACTCCCGTTTGGCTAAAGCCAACTTGTAAGGAGCTAAACGACGTGCACGGCAGTGTGCGGGTGGGCCGCGTGCGAGGATTGAATGGGTAACCGGTGTGGTGAGCGGCGGCAAAATTGTAGAAACGGGTTGAGAACAACCTTCTAACAAAAGTTGCAACCCAAAATGTAGACCGTTGTTTAAGACGGGGCTTATTGCCACTGCGTCAGTTGCTAACCCTTTCACACAGTTGGTGCTGTCGAGCAGCAGGCGTTTGCCTGTGTCGACAGTGAGGCCGTGATGTGCTAGGAAATCCATTCCAAGAATAGGGAAAGGGACTTCAGCAATCAAGAATGGCCACTCAACTGCCTTAGATAGGTTAAAATCTACTGTGAAGTTCCTGGTACCAAATGTACGTATTGTGGAACCATTGGCCGCAGTCAAGGTTAGTGCTTGAGCTGGAAGCCTGGCTTCGGTGGAGGAAGGAGGAATGCGGCTCACTTCCGCACCGGTGTTTNTGTTTACTAAGAAATATACACCAGTACTGGAGTCCCTAATGTGAAAAAGGCGGCTCCTAGTTCGTGTGCCAATGGTTGACGCCGTAGTCAGTCGTCGGCGTAGTCTTCTCCCGAAGGAGGTTGACCTTTCCACGAGCATGGGTGGATACATTTTGCAGCATCCTTACCATAGCGTGCGTGGTACCAACATAACTTCGGACTATTGTTGGGCGATTTGGACCTACAGCGACTGCTGGATTGCGGTTTTCCACCAAAAAGGGCGCCTCCAGACTTTCCATCCGTGTTGAAACCACTAAGTTTCTCGATGAAAGGCTGAAAGTGGACGTCGACGGATGTGGTTGGAGCGACGGTGGTGGTTACCGCGGCGACTGAGGGTTGACGGAACTGCATGGGTAGTGGCGCGGCATCCCGACTATTAGGATTTCTAAAACCAATCGATTTTTAAAAGTACTTTAGA